TACTTGTTTTTTATACTTGATATTATCCAATGTTATAGTTATTAATATGAGTGTGGTGTTTAAACCCAATCATTAAAAAACTAAGTGTTTTTTAACTATATTGATTGGAAAAATACAAAACATTATGTTGAATATAAGAATACAAATATAAGAACTTTTTTTTTAATTAGCAAAAGAAAAATAATAATAACAATTAAAAAATACAAAAACAGTACATTCATACATTCATGGTATAATTGTTACAAATATTGACAAAACATTTCTCACTTTGATGAAGATAGTTGCAATGGTTGATGGCAATAATAAATAAAAGCAACCATGTCCAGAAATGATGCACAAGCAAATTACATTTAGAAATATGATAAAACATTGAATTAAAACAATAAAATAATATAAGAGAAAGCAACAACAACAAAAAACACAAAAGGACTAGCAAAAACTAACAATTATTATATGAAATAATCAATTATTAAAGTCTAACAGAGGTAATGTGGGATTTTATAAGAGTTTAATGAAATATTTGACCAAATGTTTGCCTCTGAGTTGTTAATGCAAACTTATTGATTGCTTTGTGATTATAGAAATGTTCATTTGTCAATGGCGGTGCCTTCGTTTTTAGATTACTAATCGAATTTAGACTAAATAATTTATCTAATTGAAGCAGTACTAATGCATGGACTACACCATGTGTGTTGAAACCCAGTCGACCCCAGACATGGGTGTTATGGGGGGGATGGTGTTAATTCATTAAGTGCAACAGATTCACCATTGTGTTTGTTCCCGTCTGGCTATACAATGGAGCTAGTGATAAACTAAAGCAGCAAAAGGTGAATTCAATGTGATTTAATTAACTTCAGGTAGACTTTCGCTTTTTGCGAACTTAGTTGGCATAATGACTTAAGAGGCATGTGTGAAGACAAAGAATTCAATAACTGTATTAATCTGATATGGATACTGTATTGTTTATATTTAGGGGAATATTTCAGGTGTCATTAAATAAAAAAACGGATTTATTTAATTTATATATTTATCAAATTAAATTTAAACAAAATATTGCAAAAAAAATACAACCTACAAAATTTCAACTACATTTTTTTTTTTTTTTTGCTTTTCTTGATTTTTACCCTTTTTTAAATTTGTTTTTAGTATTATAACATATTCTAATATAATAACATATCTATAACATATAAATTGAGATGTACTTGTTTTTGGACCATTGTCATATGTTTTCTTTTTTAATTTTGTTAGATAAGCTCCAGATTTGGATTCAGTAGTGACTAATCTCATGTATATGCACAAATATAATATTGTATAGCTTCCTATTAAAAATCTGAATTTAAAAGAGAGATTTGTGAGGGGTGCACTTATATATGCTGAGCACTGTAAATGGGTTAAAGACAAAAGTGTATTTTCAAGTTCTGCAATAATCTAAATAGAGATTACTGTTTATTTTATGTTACAATATATGAAACAAAAAATCTTGGCAAGGATATTCATAAAAATATAAATTGATGACATTTTAAAAGACTATAAGAATAAACCACTGTTAAAACTACTGTTTTACCTATATTTGTCAGCAAGAGGTTTTTATAATTTACAACAAAGCTGTCTATGATCACATAATATTGTTATATTTTACATGTTTTATTTCAATATTAATATTTAAATTTATTTTTTTCAATTTGAAAATCAATAATTTTCAATCAATAAAATCAATAAAATCCACAAATAAATATAGTGAGCACATGTCCTTTAAAAATAAAATATATCTGAATATTTTAGATCTGAAAATGATTCAGCAATTTAATCATCAAATAAATATAAAGATCAGAAGCTTACTGGCACTAAAAACAAAAGCACTGCTGTTGACTGAAGATGGGGTCTGTGTCTGCAGACTACAGATGTAATTAACGAGGAGACGCAGAGAAAAGGAAAGACGTTTTGGAAAATGAGCTGCAGTCTGATCTTTAAACCCCCATTACTCACTCCCACTCGGGGCTCTGTGAGGCCAAATGCCGTTTGCATCCATTGTTTGGTGCTGGCTTTAACTGTTAGCCATGACAGAGGAAAACAGAGAACTCTGAGACACAAAGACACAGTCCCATGGGCCTTGAACCTCAACCGTCAATCCTCTCCCATTACAAACACGTCTCATTACTGCTGATCTGTGTCGCTACTGAAAATAAACAACTGAAATAGTGAAGTATATCAGTTCCACTTCCTTACCCGCTGCTATCATTTGCAGCTGAATCATGTGGTTTTTGTGCTTACATCCAAACAAAACAAAAGAGCTAACAGGACTGCCTTTGGTAATGATAAATGTTATCCATATATGTTATCCATATAAGCTTTTTCCTTCATTATTTAATGCTTAAAGGTATAGTTTGCCCAAAAATTTTAATTTACTCACCATTTACTCACCATCAAGTGATTCCATACCTTTATGAGTTTCCTTTTTCTGTTGAACACAAAAGAAGATAATCTGAAAAATGTTAGAAACCTAAAATCAAACAAAAAGTGCTCAGGGGTAGCTTAATTAACGTGTCAGTGCTCTTTGGGTAAGAGATACACAAGAATAAACAGCAAAAGAAAGTCCAAACCATTCGAAAAATGTGGAAAAAATATTAAAAAGCCTTTATTGACATGGCTATTCCTTAAAATGGTGCTGTTTTAAGGAATAGCCATGCCAATAAATGTTAAAAATCCCTTTTTAAGAAATAAGAAGCAAATGAAGATTAAGTAAATAATGACAAAAGTGTCTGTTTTGGGTAAACTATCTCGTTAAGACTGAGAAAAATGAATGCTTTCCTGCCTAAATTTATTTTGTCTGATTGAAATGCTGCAGTACATGAGGAAATAAAGCCATCTGTTTACCTCCATTACTTCCTTTTTGATTTCTCGGTACACATGATGAATATGTTGCATTTTATTCATACACAACTGGACATGAAACAATAACAGGTATATCAATAATGTCTTCTCTAAATAAATGTTCCGGAGGAGCTTCTAAGAAAACCTTCCTGGTGATGCTCTGGAGCTGAATATATCTTAAGGAGAGCTAAGCTATTATCTGTTTTCAATGACTTCATCAGGACTTCATCTTTTGCTTAATCTTAGTCCAAAATCAGTTATAATAGCAGAAGAAAGCATACATTGACACACTCTTATACCGTCTACTGTTTTTATTTAACTCAATGAGGTTGAGAGATTTCTCCTCAAGCTTATTTTGTGTTTAAGTGCTTACTATACATTGTTGGCAGACTTTAACATTGATTTTTCCATGTGTGATATAATGTGTTACTTTTTTCATGACAAACATAGAATTTATTGGCAATTTATTTAATTTAATAGGTAAATATTCACAAATGTACATTTTCTTCATAAACAATTAATTTGCAGAATTTTCTCATTGACTTAAATTGTTGAATTTCTATTACCAAATGTTTATAGTAAAAAAAAGTGTAAACATTTTGAAATTTTATAAGGACTTTGTAAATGTTATTTAATTGGATAATTTTGCCTCTGTACCCTGTTTTTATCATTATTTTATTAGTAGTGTTGTTTGTTTATTATTGTACTAGATGTCACCCAATGTTCATTCATCATTCATTCATTCATTTTCTTTTCAGCTTAGTCCCCTTATTAATCAGGAGTCGCCACAGCGGAATGAACCGACAACCCATCCAGCACATGTTTTATGCAGCGGATGCCCTTCCAGCTGCAACCGGGAAACACCCATACACACTCATTCACACACATACACTATATGGAAGTGTATCCAGAGGAAACCCACGCCAACACGGGGAGAACATGCAAACTCCACACAGAAACGCCAACTGACCCAGCTGTGGTGTCATCCAATGTTATAGTTATAAATCTGATTGTATTGTTAAAAATTCAATAAAAAACCGAACTGTGATATTCCTGGCATTTAAACAGTATTGCAAACCTTATTGCTTTCATTCTGGCATATAGGAACATTCATATTACAGTAATTCGTCCTTTCTGTCAAAGCCAGATCTTAGCCAAGAAGTTAACCTTGTTTTTTCTTGAAAATGATTTGAGGGTGATGTCATTTATCAACTGAGCCAATAATAGTTTTAGGCTGAATACAAAAAGTGGAAGGGGCTTTTCTAAGTGTTTAATAACAATTCGAGCCAAATGTTTGCTGCTCAGTGGTTAATGTAAACGTATATATTGTTTTACAATTATAGAAATATTCATTTGTCAATGGAGGTGCTTTTCTTTTTGATATAGACCAGAGATGCCCAAAATAGGGCCCGCGGGCCAAAGTTGGCCCATTGTAACCCTTGTCCGCCATTCTATCTGAGAAGAGAGGGAGAAGGCTGGGGCGAATGCCTTAAACAGAGATCATCATTTCTAATTTAAAGTAACCTTTTGTTTGGTTGTTTCTTTCATTGTTGAGCTACAAAAAAAGCAAACTGAAATTAAATGTTTGAAATAAATGTTTTGCATGAATCAGATTTTTAAAAATTGTAAAACTGCTAAAAGATAGAGGACAACGCACAAGACATTGATGAGCAAATCAATAAAAAGTCCATTAGAGGATGTTATTTATTTATTTATTTGTGTGTTTATTTATTTATTTTAATTTTGAAATTTAATTTTGACTCAGTTAACTGAGCCCACACTGAAAAAAATGATTCATTGGATTTACTTAATTTTTTTAAGGCAAGCTGTTGCAAATAATTGAATTGGGTTAAGTTTAAGCAAACAATTTTAGTTGGATTTACTCAATTTATATGTGTTGGATTTAAACAATCAAATTAGGTTGGATTTACTCAATTTATATGTGTTGGATTTAAACAATCAAAATAAGTTGGATTTAATCAATTTTATTTAGTTACATTTATCTAATGAAATTCATTTAGTTCACTATAATTTAATTATGTTATTCCTACTTATATCTATTTATTTTTGATGTCTAAAATGATCATTAAATTGCTTGCAAATACACTTTGAAATGACACTTGACCACATTTGTTTTGAATTCATTTTAATGACTTTTTAAGATGCATTTTTTTTAACAAAACATAAATCACTGCCTAAAAATGCTTTAGCAGCACACCATAACACAATAAACAGTTTGTACAGCACATTTAATTTAAACCAACACATAAAAGAAAACTGTATGAAGTCTTGGAGCAAACGGCAATCCTTATGACACACACACCCCCAATACACAAAATAATCAACTAATTAACTTAAAAAATTTACTCATTAACATATTGAGCAACTACAAGTTGTATGAAATGGAATAAATACAAAGTTTATAGAATGCACATGTTCTCTCTCTCTCTCTCTCTCTCACACACACACACACACACACACACACGCACACCATTTAAAACAAGTTCCTACAGCTAATTAATTTTGCACACAAAGAAAACTGAATTCACTTATTAAACAATTCCTACACTAAACTGCAATTTGTATATGATATACATTTGGTTGTTGAGCATTTATTAACACTTCAATGCTTAAAATTACAGTATCACACTGTTTTCCAGTATGAGAACCTTTGAGGAGAGCTTGTCAGAGTTCATTTGCACAAGTACTTTTTGGGCAAACTCGTAATAGTATTTGAGTTATTTTGGGTAGGCCAAATCAAGCACATAAATTGCCCCCAACATCAGTGCACAGGCTTGTGCAACAGATTTTATCTGTTCAATAATCACTGTTCCATCCACAACGATGCCAATGTCCTCATAATCTCCTCTTTCCTTTTTGATGACACATATGGCCATGGCGGTGTTTGTCAGGTCCTTCAAAAATTCTTCTTTTTGATTGCCCTATATTTAAATAAAAAGAAACCATTATTAGACATTGTTTTTGAAACATATTTTGTAAAAAGTCAGAAGAAATCAAATGTAAATAAAACCAAAACCTTAATGGCCCTCCCCACACCCACATTGATACCTGTGAAATATTATAACAATCATTTATGATTGCATATTGGCGTACATATATTTGTGCATGATCTGCAAGTACGACTTCTTCACAATTATTTACAGGGTTTATTCAGGTTTTATCAGGGTAAATTTAAGATCTTTTAAGACTAACTAAAAATAATTTTGGAAAAAATAATTGAAAGGCAAACAATACAGTAATACGTTGAAAACTAAATATAATGTCAAGGAAGCATTATTGCATTATTATTTAAATAATATTACCCAAGGTTTAAGGCTTGAAAACCACAGATTTGGCCACTTGAATGTGGAAATACCTTCTGATCAGACCCACTGTATATCAATATACCCGGTCACAATTGTTCACCTTAACCCTTCTGTATTATTTAAATTTACTACCCTTTCCTTTTGATAGTTTTATGTTAGTTGCTGTTTTTTTGCCCCATTGACTTCCATTAAAACATTTTTTGGATGGAAATCCATGACAGCATGTAATCACGCATTGTTGCTGGTTATCTTCCCTTTTTGGTAAATGTATATTTTGTCATTTTTACTGTTGATGATCAGTTGACAGCATAACCATTTAGATAGTCCTGTGCAAAAAAGTTTCTGGCTTTTATATTTTTTGAGTTCTTTGGAGTATTAACAGTAAATGATAGTGTGTGTGTGTGTGTGTGTGTGTGTGTGTGTGTGTGTGTGTGTGTGTGTGTGTGTGTGTGTGCATAAATACACTTACTATGTTTACTATATGTCTGAAAAAATGTAAATAAGCAACTTTCAAAACAATGTGTGCAAAAGTCTCACTTTCATGAGCTCAAACAAAGAAATCTGTCTCCAAATTAATATTCTCAACAGCACACAAGGCTTAAGAATAATTGTGCACAAGTAAAATAAACATCAGCGAATGAAATTCAGTAGAAATGTCACACCTTGATGCAAAATTTAAGACCTCTCAAATTTAAGACTTTTTATGACCTTAAATTGTAAAAATCTAATTTAATACTTAAGACTTTTCAAAGACCCACAGGACCTCTGCAAATAATAAAAAAAAGTACAATGATAATAAAACAAATTTAATTGGACAAATTAATAGACATGTATATTTATTTAATTAGTATTTTTACGTGTCATTAATTAAACCAAAATAATTTAAATATATTAAGTATATTTTAAATGTATAAAAGTAAATATACAAATTTAAAACTTGAATTCATACTTTAAAAAAACGTCATGTTTCATTATTAGATTAAACATTTTTGAAGAATTATTCAGCAATACATTTTTGATTGTTAGTACGGCCACCCATTGACCTAAAAATGTAATACAAGTCAAGTTGCTTTTAAACAGTAATTTTAATCTTAACATAAACATAAATTTTCTCTTTTTTGGAAAAAAGTGGTTTACTTGTAATTTTGTGACTATTTGTTTGTAATTTAGAAATAATAATACTGTTTAGAAAGACTAAAACAGGGGTGTCCAAACTCCTTCTTGGAGGGCCAGTGTTCTGCCGATTTTAGCTCATCCTTGCAGGTGTGTTGAGGCAAGATAGTTTCTAGATCACCTAGTAAGAGCTTGATTAGCTAGCATAGGTGTGTCTAATTGGACTTGGAATTGGAATTGCAATTGGAACTAAACTTAGCAGGACACAGGCCCTCCAGGACCAAGCTTGGACACCCCTGGATTAAACAATGAATATCTCTGGGGTCAAACACAGATCTGAACCCAATGCTGAGAACGTCAAAGGATTAAGAAACATATGCATCTTTTAATCATTTAGTATTTTTAGGCATACTAATATTAGGCACATATTGTGATTTTCAAAAAGTATTACATCGCTTTGTAAATGTTTATTATTACCATTTGTTGAGTCTCCCAATACTATTTGATATAGTCAAGCGATGTGATGTCACACTCAACAAGCTGATAGTTTTCTCATGGTTCAATAACAGTGTGTATTACCATTACAATGCAAGAGTTTGAGGCAAAAGATAATAGGTTGCTCTTACGCGTGTAGTGACCAATGGCATTTTTTTTTAACTTCATGTACAAATAAATGGAAATAGAAAGCATTTGAAAAAAAGAAAAAAGCCATTGACATACAGTGAAAACGCTATTTTCAAATTCTTTAAAATTAATTTTGTTTTTGAGATATTAAAATATTTTGTTCATTGTTCTATTCATACTTTTGCATTGAATTAGTATGCAACTTACTTGCACGAATCTAGCAAGTGTTTGTGCAGCGCAATGTGATTTGAATAGACCATAATGTGTTCAACATTAGGTTCACCTATTAATTCAAATATGGCACTCAAAAAAGTTTCTGTTTGTCTCATTGGCCACTGTAACCCCACCCTCAGCCTCTGAACAAAGCAGTTCTTTCTTATAGCCCAGGTGCAAGCACTAGTACTATGATGCACTCACCATGTATTCTTTCACCAGGCATGCCTCATCCTCACCAAGGTAAGTAAAGAGAGCTTGAAGAATAGACGCTCTTTTGACATGGACATTGGTTGTCTGTAAATAATACAAATTTGATTAGTTAAATACATAAATGACAAATTGGAAAACGTTAAGAAATGTATTAGATTAGATTAAACTTTATTGTCATTACACATGTACAAGTACAATGCAACGAAAATCAGTTTAGGTCTAACCAGCAGTGCAATAGCAGCAAGTGCAGGATACAGGTATAAGTTATAAAGTGCAGATATAGAAAAACTTTAGTGATATTTACAGATGAATGTACTATCAACATTATATACAGGTTGTATTAGCTATAAACAGAAATTTAAAATAAATTATTATATGTACAGGTTGCTATTAATAATCAGAAGTGTACAGGTAGATAAACAATTACAAGTGTACAGTATATGTATAGTTCAAATGAATGAATCAGTCTAATGTAGTGCAATGAATGTGTAATTTTTCAATGTGCAAATGTTAAATAGTGCAATGATAATGAGGAGTACAAGTTATGAGGACAGTGGGGGTGTATTAGGAGGGCAAAATAATTAGTGGGGGATAGAGTTGAAAAAGGGACAGCTCTGAGGAAAGTGTTGTTCCTTAAGGCTGATTTATACTTCTGCGTCAAACGCACGCCAATGCTACGGTGCTGACGCATAGCCCTTCGCCGTGGCCGTCGGCGTCGCTGACGTGCACCTCTCAAAAAATGTAACTACACATCGCAATGACACGTAGCACAAGCTCTGTGATTGGTCGGCTTGGTAGTGGCCAAGTGGACAGATGATGTATCGCCTCCCTGTAGGCCGTCTCATCATTATTGCTGATTAGACCAATCACTGTGGTGTCATCTGCAAATTTGATGATGATGTTGGATCTATTCACAGGCCTACAGTTGATAGTAAAAAAGAAGTAGAGGAAGAGGCTCAGCACACAGCCCTGTGGTACACCAGGGTTGAGTGTGAAGATGGTGGAGCAGATGTGGCCTGATCTAACATTCTGAGGTCTTTTAGACAGAAAGTCCATAATCCAGTTGCAGAGAGACGTGTCGATATCCAGGTCTCTAAGTTTATTCATTAACTAATGCCGAGTTCAATTTGAAAGTAGTCGTTGCTGCTTTATTTTCACTGCAAGATGGATCGGCGACAGGGACTTGAACATTGCATGACTTTACAATAGGAAGAATCGCCGACAACTTCGTCTAAACTACGTCTCACAACCCAAAAACCATCTGTTTGACCAGGCCGTGGATTAATGCTAATATTGCAAATAATGTTACATTTCTTACACAGACCAATCGTTTCACTTTACAGGACCTTCATCAGGAGCCATGGCTTTAGATTTGGACTTTATTCTTAAACTGAAAAACCCATCCTCATTCGCTGCCATTATTTGGATCACCATGTACCACAGATTCAGCTAAAAATCATCAGTAGTGTTATATTAACATTAAGTTAAATAAATATTAATTTATTTTCTTCTCGGCTTAATCCCTTTATTAATCTGGTGTCGCCACAGCGAAATGAACCGCCAACTGATCCAGCATGTTTTACACAGCGGATGCCCTTCCAGCTGCAAACCATCACTTGGAAACATCCATACACTTTCATTTACACACACACACACTACGACAATTTAACTTACCCAATTCCCCTATAGCGCATGTCTTTGGACTTGTGGGGGAAACCGGAGCACCCGGAGGAAACCCATGCGAACGCGGGGAGATCATGTAGACTCCACACAGAAATGCCAACTGATCCAGTCAAGAATCGAACTAGCGACCTTCTTGCTGTGAGGTGAGAGCACTTCCCACTGCGCCACCTGTTAAATAAATATTTTTAAAAATAAAAAGAATTAATAACTGAAACCAGCTCAAATGTTATCGATTATTTGTCATATGCCATGTCCCGAATAAAACACGTTACCGTAATGCACAACTGTTAGTCATTTGAGACTCCTTTATTACAGCACTCCCACAAGTTTCTCTCTTGCTTTCACAAATAAAATTATACATTTTTAATGTATATCCATTATTAATAGCCTATCTAAGTTTTGCCCAGCTAGCAAAACCTGCAGGTAAAGGTAGCCTATAAGCATATTTTTTTCAGTGCATGCATTGACTGCATCGTCAAATACATAGAATATAAGTATGTTTGTGGCATGACAAGCATGGACATGAGCATTATTCAGAACATAGCCTATATATTTATTTTTAAAATGTTATATTTAGAAGTTAAAACTATATTAAATTTCAACTTGCAGTAATAATCTAAACATTAAACTTTGCCTCGATGTTGTGCACTTAATATTCTTTAACACACCTAAATCTGACGATTGTCCCTTACATGTATATTACATTTATAATGATACTCAAATTTATTTAATCAACAGACTGTTTACTTGTGAATAGTTTGTTTAGTTACACTATATTTAAAGTGATTTCTTTTTTCGACTACCTTGTAATTTAACATGTTCAGCCAAGATAAAGACATGTAAAGGCTGATTTATACTTCTGCGTCAAATGCACGTGTATGGTCCGACGCAGCCTGCGCGCAGTTGAATAGCCCTTGCCGTGGCGCATCTCTCCAAAAATGTAACTACACATCGCAACAACACGTAGCGCACGTTCTATTAGTGGGCTTGGTAGCGCTTACGTGTGTGGGCGGGGTTGAGAGCCACGCCAACCCATTGGAGCTAGTGTTTACAAGTGTAGAGTCCCATGAAATAGCTCCAGGTGGAAACTGTTGCTTTGTGTTTACCTTATGATTAAAGTTGTTGCATGACCGCCAGCTACCGCCTCAGAATGAGCGAGTTTTATCCGCTTGTTCATTAAGGTAGTGTTCAGAAAAAACAAAACCCAAGCGAAGAAACTCCATACAGAGGGAACATATAAACCTACTGCTTTTGTAAGTGTTATTGTAGAACAACACAAACAGCGCGCACAAGTTTAAGTGCTCAGCTGCACACAGGGCAGGCGCAGTAGGTCACGCCAATCACTCAACGCAGAAGTACAAACCAGGCTTAAGGCCGAATTTCTATTGTGCAATTTTGAGCCAAATTCTGATGCGACACTTCTTTGAATCAAATTAAATTTCAACTTTGATATTTGCTGTGCTGTGTTGATGCAATGTACAGGAGGAAAAAAAAAGGTGAATAACCTCTCTTGGTTGGCAGATAGTCGAATCATTTTATGGCAGGTCAGACATTTTGGTCGCCTCTCTTGAGAGAATCACGGAGTTGAATCAAAGTTGAACTCTGTGTTTGTGCTCTTACTGCACCCTAGTACTGTGAAAACTAGGGAAGCAACAATAACATTTACTTATTCTTTACTTGTCACAAACCTGTTTGAGTTTCTTTGTTCTGATAAACACAACATAAGATAATTTGAAAAATGATGAAAACCGGTAACCATTGACTTCCATAATATGTTTTTCCTACTATGAATGTCAATGATTACTGGTTTCTAACACTCTTCAAAATATTTTGTCTTGTGTTCAACAGATAAAAGAAACTCAAAGGTTTGGAACCATGGAAACATGGTGAGTGAATAGTGAGTAAATTTCCTTTTTTGGGACTATTTAGATTTTTCAGAGCAACATATTCAGTTAAGAAACTGTTTACTGTAATGTGTAGTGATAAATGTTTTGCAGTTACTTACCATAAAAATGTTGATGGAAAATTCCAACTGCAGTACTGGACAGAAAATGTGTTTAAACCCCTGACCAAGGAACTCAGCAAAGGAAACTTGTTGTACAGTACCTCAAATGAAAGGAAGCACATGATTATCATTTAGGTTCAAAATTCAGCATAAGTTACAACATGACCAACTTCTTAATCAACATATTGTTTACCGATTAATTATATTAGGCAACATACATTTAGATAAATTACTTATTGAACAAATTGCTGAACGTGATTAATATGATTAAGATAATCGTCACTGGCTGATTGATACGATATAAAGTCTGTCTCAGACCAGTCAAAGCACTGCATTAAATTCCATTCTTCAACGCCATGTCTTAAAAATGTCAATTTATTTTAACCACAATATTTTCCATGAAGTTTTAGCACTCGTCTGCATGTGTTTTACGTTTGAACAACTAAATGATTGCTTCAGCTTATTTAAAGGATATTATTTTAATTAAATTACATTATCGTTGATGTAAAAGGCACTTTATGAATATGGAAAAAGTCACATTAAGTTAACCCCTGCGCTGGACGTTTATCGGTGGCTGATAAACACTTGCTGTGAATATAAGTTAGCCTATTAAGTGCATTATAACCCCAAAGACATAATTACAGCATCTCACGTAAAAAAATAAAGAACTATAAATGGACGCCCTTTACGTTAAAAGTTAATGTTACGCCAGTATGGGCACACATTCGACAACCTCCTAAGACAGTCAGTAGTGCCCTAACGCCAGACCAAATCGTTCTATAACAAAATCTGTATGGTACTGTCCGTTCACAACTATCTAAACGCATGCTTAATGTTAACCATAGTAAAAGCCACGGTAAATTCACAAAGGACTGAGCTAACGTTAGCAACGAAGCTTTTTTCGTTTGGAATGGCGGATCACGGACACTGTCGTCACATCAAAGAAAATGCTTATTCTCTTGAAAATAGCCATTTACTTCATTAAAAAACATTATATATCAAGTCTACATAACTACATTCTTGCTAAAAAGAATCTTTAATATATTCTGCGACATAAAAACGAGATTTGTCAAACCGTGTGTAACGTTAACTGTTAGCTTAACTTGCGAGCGCGCTCGACGGCTGGTCGCTGTGAAATTTAAAAACGACCAAAATAGACAGTCCGAACGAGAGACCATTTTATGCGTTTATGTTACCCACAAAGTTTTTCTTTAATAAACAGTCTGGTACAATATAAAATGTGACTTACTGTGCAAATGGATGTACAGAAATCCGGCTGTGGCGTCTTGCTTCAATCTGACTGGATTCTGTAAACCTTCCTTTGGGCTTTGGCGCCGAGGCAACGGAACATAACACGCATGCGCACAAAGCTAACATAATTTTTTCTAATAGACTTTAATTAATTAATTTAGATTGGTTCAAAACACATCTAATTCACTTAAACCCGATTAATAATAATTGAATAAAATCAACAACTAAATTAAATTGTTTAAAATAAACTAAATTGAATTATGTTTAATTTAATAGAGGCCTAAATCATTTTTTTCAGTGCAGGCTTCATCTTCTGCTTAATCTAAGTACAAAATCAGTCATAATATGAGAAGAAAGCACACCTTGTATATATAAAAACATCTTCTACTGTTTTTATTTAACACTGTGAGGTGTTGAGCCATCTCTCATGCTGATCTTGTTTTGTGTTTAAGTGCTCATTATACATTTTTAGCAGACGGATGATCCGTATGGCAGTTTGGTATAAAAAGAAACGACAACATACAATTGTATACAATATGTAGCCATGAACATTCATTTTGTTTGCCCTGTTTTTGTTGTTGTTGTTGTTGTCACTGTTGGAGAGTAGCTAGCTACAAGTAACTTAGCTATTACCCAGCAGGCACAGGATGTCATCATGTCAGATTGACAATGTACCCCAATGTCTAGGGACTTTGCTTTTTTTTCTGGAAATGAAAATTATGTTAAAGTCAGAACGTTAGGCCGACATCAATATCCAACGTCGGAGAGACAGTGTGTTTCGGTTACTTTCCAACGCATCCTAAAATCCAACCAAATATCAACATCTAATGATGTTACAGCTTGACGTTGTGTGGACATTACCACTATGACATCTATCGGATATTGTATTTTGGTTGCCATGATGAATAAATGTCAGTATTTGATGTTAATATGGCATTGGCTCGAGGTTGGATTTTGGTCACTGACAACTTAAATGTAACCTATTAACATCTTAAAACATTATAACGTTCAATGTTTAGTAGCTTGAACGTTGCTCAGCTGCTTCAGATCCAATGTAGCATTTTTAGAAGATACTGTAGTTACTTTTTCCAGCAAGTAGTGAGTAGTGATATAGTCATGTGTCAATTTTGTTTCTTCAGAAAATGCTATCATGTGCTTAAATTATTTTGTTATTGCAATGCTACTTTGATGCAGTTTTGCATTTTAACTCTTGACAGGCTGGGAAATTTGAAAACTATGTGCAATAAAACATTAAGCTTTAACATCATACTTGTTTTGCACTATTTTTAGGTACTAAATGTTTGAAGCTTTTGTGATATATGCCTTTGTGGAAAAGTAGTGCAATGTACCTATTTTTTAGAAAGTACTTGTGGTGTGGCTACTTTTTCAGTAAATTTGTTAAAGTTTTTGTTGTTTTGTGATGAAAAGCTTGTAGCTTTTTAAGCTATGAGATTATAGCTTTGCAAACACTGTTTTTTTTACTACTAGCCACTGTCTTATGTTTATGAATCATCAAAGACCAGAATTTCAGCAAAAAATATACAATACTCACAAAATAAATACTTACAAAAAAGTTAACTCCATCTTGGATATCTTAAAATTGATTTAGTAAAATAAACATAAAACAATTATTATAAATCACTTTTATAATAGGAATAACACTTTAAATAGTATGCTTAAAAGTGAATACTTTCACACTCCTACACTGGTTACCTTTCGCAGAAACCTACGATCTCTCTCACCCAATAGACTATCCACCATTGTTTCAGACTCTCTTCCTCCATCTCGCAAACTCACTGCACTTGATTCGAACAGTGCCAATAATACACTCTGCTCCACACTAGCATCATGTCTAGACCGATTATGTCCTCTTGCATCCAGGCCAGCCCGTGCCAGTCCTCCTGCACCCTGGCTCTCGGATGCTCTCCGTGAGCATCGCTCAAAACTTCGGGCTGCGTAGAGAATTTGGCGGAAAACTAAAAATCCTGCACATCTCTTAACATACCAAACTCTTCTGTCCTCTTTCTCAGCTGAGGTTACTTCTGCAAAGCAGACGTATTACCGTCTGAAAATCAACAATGCCACTAATCCTCGCCTACTTTTTAAAACATTTTCCTCCCTCCTCTATCCTCCTCCTCCACCCGCATCCTCCACACTTACTACTGATGACTTTGCTACATTCTTCTGCACCAAAACTGCAAAAATCAGTGCTCAATTTGCTGCACCTACAACAAACACGCAAGATACAACACCAACACCACACACACTCACCTCTTTTTCTCAGCTCTCTGAGTCTGAGGTGTCCAAACTTGTGCTATCTAGCCATGCAACCACCTGTCCACTCGATCCCATTCCCTCTCATCTCTTGCAAGCCATCTCTCCTGCAGTCATACCAACACTGACTCACATAATTAACACATCTCTTGACTCTGGTTTATTCCCCACTACATTTAAGCAGGCTAGGGTAACCCCACTGCTAAAGAAACCCAACCTGGACCATACGCTACTTGAAAACTACAGACCAGTATCCCTGCTTCCATTCATGGCCAAGATTCTGGAGAAAGTAGTGTTCAATCAAGTCCTGGACTTTCTTACTCAAAACAATCTCATGGACAACAAGCAATCCGGCTTTAAGAAAGGCCACTCAACTGAGACTGCCCTGCTCTCGGTCGTGGAGGATCTCAGACTGGCTAAAGCAGACTCTAAATCATCAGTCCTCATTTTGCTGGACTTTGACACTGTCAACCACCAGATCCTGCTATCTACGCTTGAGTCACTGGGCGTTGCGGGCACTGTTATACAATGGTTCAGATCTTACCTCTCTGACAGGTCATTCAGGGTGTCTTGGAGGGGAGAGGTGTCCAACCTACAGCATCTAAACACTGGGGTACCTCAAGGCTCTGTTCTTGGGCCACTTCTCTTCTCCATCTACACATCATCTCTAGGACCAGTCATCCAGAGACATGGATTCTCCTACCACTGCTATGCTGATGATACCCAGCTATACCTCTCTTTTCATCCTGATGATCCCTCGGTTCCAGCTCGTATCTCAGCCTGCCTGTTGGATATTTCACACTGGATGAAAGATCATCATCTTCAGCTGAACCTCGCAAAAACGGAAATGCTTGTAGTTTCTGCCAACCCGACTCTACACCATAACTTTTCAATCCAGATGGATGGGGCAACCATTACTGCATCCAAAATGGTGAAAAGCCTTGGAGTAACGATTGATGACCAACTAAACTTCTCTGACCACATTTCTAGAACTGCTCGATCGTGCAGATTTGCACTCTATAACATCAGAAAGATCCGACCCTTCTTATCTGAACATGCAGCTCAACTCCTTGTTCAAGCTCTTGTTTTCTACAAACTGGATTACTGCAACTCTCTACTAGCTGGGCTTCCAGCTAACTCTATCAAGCCTCTTCAACTGCTCCAGAATGCAGCAGCACAAGTTGTCTTCAATGAACCTAAACGAGCACATGTCACTCCGCTGCTAGTCCGTTTGCACTGGCTGCCAGTTGCTGCTCGCATCAAATTCAAAACTCTGATGTTTGCCTACAAAGTGACTTCTGGCCTAGCACCTTCTTATCTGCACTCACTTCTGCAGATCTATGTGCCCTCCAGAAACTTGCGTTCTGTGAATGAACGTCGCCTCGTGGTTCCATCCCAAAGAGGGAAAAAATCACTTTCGCGAATGCTCACGCTCACGCTCAATCTGCCCAGTTGGTGGAATGAACTCCCTAACTGCATCAGAACAGCAGAGTCACTCGCTATTTTCAAGAAACGACTAAAAACTCAACTATTTAGTCTCCACTTCACTTCCTAATCTGCAATTGCCTCTTTGAATATCACACTAACTGTACAAAAAAAAAAAAAACTACTAATACTTCCCTACTTAGACTTTACAGACCTGAAACTTGCCTTTAGTACTTATTCATTGTTGCTCTTAGTTGTGTAAATTGCTTCCTTGTCCTCATTTGTAAGTCGCTTTGGATAAAAGCGTCTGCTAAATGACTAAATGTAAATGTAAATGTAAATGAATACCTAGTGAGCGATTGACTAGTGTTATTACAAAGGTGATTTTCTTTAAAAACGATGTTAAATAATGTTGGTACCCCAAAGGTTTTGGTGCTTATTGACTTCCAGTAAACAAAACCACAACAATAAAACATTGCTCAAAATATTCTTTAGTCCACACTAAAAAAGCTTACTCAGGAATTTGGAATGACATTGAGTTGAGTAAATGACTGAATTATCCTTTTCGGGAGAACATTTCCTTAACCGGCACACAATTTTAAAGTCTTTTCTTATTATACCTCCAAATTACATCTACAACAGCCACATCTTCTCATTGAGGCAGAGACTGGCAGAAAGCCAATCCTCCAGGATGCTGCTATTTAATCACCAATGACAGTCCCTCTCTCTCTCTCTCTCTCTCTCTCTCTCACACACACACACACACACACACACACACACACACACACACACACACACACACACACACACACACACACACAGATTTTCATTCTCACATAAACAAATACTATTTTCCCTTTCCCTGTCTGCCAGCTATTCATAGCACCCTGACTCAATACTATTGGACGATGGACCCATGGGAAAGGGTCCACTCAGCTGGGGTTGGGGAAGGTTCTCTTATCTCTTACCTTTTAATATCCCTTCGTTTAAAACAGAAAGAGGGTGGCAAGATGAAACAGGAAAGATAAGGCCATCAGCTTTGGATAACGGAAATCCACAGTAGGTAGACAATGAGAAAACACCAGATGACAACAGCAATCAATGGGTGAGATATTTCATAGATGATAAAACGCTCCACATGCTGGACTAAAGCCACAGAGCATCCATTACAGCTTTTAGCTTGTGGCATTTTGAGATAAAAAAAATAAATGTGAAAATGTTTTGACTAAGCATAAGTTCACAGTCGAGTGCATTTCTATAAAGCTTCAAGAGAAAGAGCAGAGCATTCTCTTATCAGTACACAAACACTCTCTATACACCATCACTGTATTTTAAGCAATGGTTCACTCAGAAATGAATATGAAGTCATTTTAAACCCAAACTCATGTCTTTCGTAACACATATAATTTTTTTCTTCTTCTTTTGAGGAAACGTTAAACAGAATGTCTGAGCAGTTGTTTAAAGATAATAAATTGTGATCATAATAAATGGTAAACCAACACCCTGTTAAATTAATTTATCACAGTAAAAAAGACAGCTATGGGAAAATATACT